AATAGCAGCAGGAACAGCAGCTGCAGCAGCGGAAGGTCAGAGGCATACAAAGACAGACAAAGAAAAAGAGGGACAAAGACAGAAAGAGACAAAGAGAGAAAAAAAGATAAAAAGACAAAGACAAAGACAAAGAAGAAATGAAAAAAAAACAAAGACAAAGACAAAGACAAAGAAAAAAAGATAAAAAGACAAAGACAAAGACAAATAAACAGAAAGACAAAAGACAAACACATAGCGGGCGGCACAGCATTTATGATGGGGGGAAGCAAACGAAGAAAGAAAAGTCTAAGAGATAGGAACGGCGAAGCTGCTGCTGTTTCTGCTGCTGCTACTGCTGCTGCTGCTGCTGCTGCTGCTGCAGCTGCTGTGTGTACCTGTTTGTGTCTTCCTTTTCCTCTCGCGAGGGGCTTTTACTGTCTCCGTGTTTGTTGTTTTTCTTGTTCTTATCATCACTATCTGCTGCTGCTGCTGCTGCTGCTGCTGCAGTGCCTCTGACTTGTCTCTCGTGCTGCAGCAGCGCCACCTCCGCCTTCAGCGCCTCTATGCGCTGCCAGTGGCGGCCCATAAGCTTTGCTGCTCTCCACACAAACAACCATAGAACGAGACAAAACAACTCGATCCATAGATTTCTTTCATGCCGCAGTTGATAGCTGCTGCTGCCTTTTAGGGGGAGTCCTGCTGCTGCTGCTGCAGCAGAAAGAGTATCTGGCTTCCCTGCTGCTGCTGCTGCTGCTGTTGCTGCATACACCTCACGCAGCTTCATAGACGTCAAACTCAATCGAATAAAAGAATATAAACAAATACATGCAGCTACACCTATCTGAAAAGGGCCCAGCTGTAGATGCAAGCAGCACAGCGACACACACGCGCGGTGTACGCGCGGCGTCGGCACGAATATAAGCAGGGCTGCTAGCAGCCCCCCAAAGGGGAGAAAAAAATAAGCAAAATCCTTCATCATAAATAAATTAATAATATTTTTGTTGTTGCTGCTGCTGCTGCTGCTCCTGCTGCTGCTGCTGCTGCTGTTGCTGCTGTTGCTGTTGCTGCTGCTGCGACCAGGAA